AGGGCAGGGAAACAGCCCAATGAACATCACCGCAGAGGAGCCAATCAGCTAGATGTTGCTGGGGCCACTGTGAGCCAATCATCAGCTGGCAGTCTGAAGCTTGCTGGCAGCTGGAAGTTTGCTGGGGCCCCTTTGGCTGTGGCTCTCAACACAGGGGCATTTGACCACTGAGCCACATCCCCAGTCTTATTTTGTATTTAGAGACAGGGTCTCACTGAGTTGCTTAGTACTTTGCTTTTGCTGAGTCGGGCCTTGAACTTGCGATTCTCCTTCCTCACCTCCCAAGCTGCTTGGATTACAGGTGTGTGCCACCTTGCCGGCTGCATATATGTTTACAGTTGTAATACTTTTAGGCACATGGACTCCTGTACCGTTATAAAATGTTCTTTGTTATCTCTAGAAGCATAGAATCTCTCCCCTACAAATGAGCTGGGGCTAGGGTAATTGGGTCCCCACTATTCTTGGCCCTCAAATCTAGTATGGAAATTCCACCCTAGGGGTGGAGGCTGAATGGAGGAGGTTGATCCTCCCTACAGAATCAACCCCAAAAGAACTTCTGAAACACAGAGCTGGGGAGGGAAACAAGAAAGGCCAAGAGTCTGTCTCTTCCCCAGACAGGGAGCTAGGCGGGGAGGGAGGCTCTTCTTGGCCCCACTAGCTTAGGGTAGTGTTTCCAAAAATGGAACTGGGAGTGGTGGTTGAAGTTCAAATGTCACAGGCTTCTGTTGTTCTAATGCCACTTAGTAGTTTTATTCTTGAGTGCCTATTACTCCCTTGGTCTTATACCCTTAGGATAATTTCCAGAGAGCTTAAATAATTATAAAAAATAATCTCCACCCCATTCTTGCTTTGTTGGAGAGAGTCTGCCACATTCCTCCCTCTGCCTTTTGGGCAGCTCGGTCCCTCCAGGACAAATGGCTAAAGAGATAAATATGACTAAGTAGAGCCGGTTCATGTTGAGCACCACCTAGAAATTCCTGACTGTTGAGATTGCCATGACAAAGAAATAAGGAAGAACAAGACATAATCCCTGGCAGCACCAAATTATAAAGAAATAAGAGCTGGTTGCTGAGTGGCCACATATTTGCCTTCTACTTCTCTGAGAGATCAATCTCATTACTCAGCAACTCAAAATTATGGCAGCAATAAAAGCGCAATTGCATTTGTGTGAAGGCCTAACCCAGCCTAGTGCTCCGGATTCCTTATATGTTCCATGGGCAAAAGCCAAGTCAGGAGGCTGGTTAGTAAGGGATGGTAGATCTAAAAAAAAAAAATTTCTAATTATGTAGTCAAGAGAGAAAGTGGAACCCGGCGGAAATTAAGAAATGCCATTCCCACCCTGGGTGACTCCTGTCCGAAGAAGAGCTTGGTGGCGGCGTGCTGAGGGAGGCTGAGGTGTCAGATCCAGAGGCCGGACGGACGTGTTTACTGGGCCAGGGTGTTAACTTGGTGTTGTAATGATCAGAAGTCCAAGGGCACCCCACAGCCAGGCAAGGATGGGCCAGGAAAGGATGGCAGTGGGGTGGGTAGTTAGTCTTGGCAGGTGGTTAGCTGCAGCAGAGAGGTCCAGCTGGACCCCACCCTGCATGGCCCTGGGGGAACAGAAACCGAGGCACAAGATAAATCCAGTGTTTATGGGATACAAATGCAAAATGAGACCAAACATCCTGGCTGGTGAGGATGAACCAGGAAAGCAGGCTGTATATTTCTTAAATTCTCCTGAGTACCAGATGATCGGGTCCTGAGTCTGTAGCTGTAGGCATTTGAGATCCTTGTGGGGCAGAGAATTGCATAGAACACGCAGCTGTCCTTACTGTAGCACAGTAATAAGAAGCAATAATAATAATAATCAGGCAATAATAATAATTATCAGGCAATAATAATCAGAGTAATACTAATAGTAGTAACAGCAGCAACAAACATTTCTATAGCACTTATAAGATGCAAGGCTGTGTGTGTGTGTGTGTGTGTGTGTGTTCTGGGGATTGAATCCAGGGGCACTTTACCACTCAGCTATGTCCCCAGCCCTTTTTATTTTATTTTATTTTTTTTAGTTTGAGTCAAGGTCTCACTATGTTCTTCTAGGGGTCTTGCTAAGTTGCTGAGGGAGCCTCAGACTAGTGATTCACCTGCCTCAGCCTCCCGAGTTGCTGCGATTATAGGCATCAGTTACCACACCTGGTTGTCTTCTCAACAGGCATTTTAACCCCATGGAGTAAATACCCCCATTTTAGAGACAAGAAAGACAACAGGCTGAGAACATTTAAGTGACTGGGTCTGCACCGCACAGCCAGCATTTACTGGAATCAGGGCTCAAACCCAGTCGGTCTGGCTCCATGTCTTAGCCACTGCACGCTATCATGTCAAATGATCTCTGAACTTATCTCCTCATCCTTAAATGGGAAGAGCAATAGACCCCTCATTAGATTATAGGGAAGAATAAACGTCTGTGGGCATGCATATAAGCCAGAACTTATGGCCCTGTGCTCCTTCTTGGTGATTGCTCCGACCCTCTGGGCTGCCCTTACACACAGCCCCTTCTGTCTGCTTTAATAATTGATAACAAGCTGTAGATGGAAGACTTCACCATGTGATGTTTTATTGCATAAGCCTTCTAAGGCACACAGATATTCATTGCATCGTTCTCTATACCTCTCTGTATAATGCATATATTTCATAATAAGCTAAAAGTTTAAATGAGTGTGGGCTGGGGCGGGGTGAGGAGCCAGGACACCAGCTCATGGAGGCCTCCACTGGCTTAAGATATGCTCTGTTCACTGATAGGGCTGTTGGATAAGCCTAGCTTTCCAGATGTGGTCTGGAAACATCTGGAAAGAAAGCTAATGTTTCAGGCGGGCAAATCTATACCTTGAGAAAAGGAGGCAAAGCAGGGGAAGAGAGAAATATAGAGGAAAACTAGCTGGAGAGCCGTGTACTAGGGAAGGCCAGGCAAGGAGGGTGGGGAGGGTGTGTGGCTGACCTGGTGAGAGGCAGAGGGCAGAGAAAGGCCACTGGGTAGAGCCACGAAAAGTCCCTGGTCATCTCCTGGAGAGTGGCCTTGGAATTTGTCAGTAACTCTTGTCTCTTTCTACAGAAGCATTGGTAACACTTGGCCCACAAAGTATGCATTCTGCTGACTTAGTAAGGAGTGGATAGGGAGGGGAAATGGGAACCTGGGATAAAAGAGGAACTAAAAACATGATAAGAGCCTAGCTTGACTGAGCCTCCTGGAATTCCAGGCAACAAGTGCCAAGTGGAAGTTACGAAGCTCAGCTCATTAGAAAGGAGGCCACAGGCTGTTTCTTCAAAAGAAGCATTTTTTTTCTCCTCTGCTTAAGATAGCCTTTGATACTTTGGGATGCTTGCAGATAGAAAAGATTAAATTCCCAGTTAGGAAAGGGAATGGATAAAAGTTGGGGAGGAGGAAACCAAAATTTCATAGTGAATGTTTTGTAAAAGAGTTTTGTTAGATGCATCTTGCAAAATGGAAACAACAGTGATTAAAATGAGTTGACTTTACACTTGACATGTGTTATGGTTTTGATGTGAGGTGTCCCTCAAAAGCTCCCACGTGAGACAGTGCAAGAAGGTTCAGAGGAGAGATGATTGGGTGGTCAGGGTCTTCATCCGTGGATTAATGCCTGATGGGTATTCACTGAGGTGTGGGGTGTGGCTGGAGGAGGTGGGAATTGGGGTGTGGCTTTGGGATATATTTATATATCTGGCCAGCGGAGGCTCTCTGCTTCCCCCTGCCACACTCTGCTGCTGCGATGTTCAGCCTCACCTCGAGCCCCCGAGGAATGGAGCCGGCCTCCTATGGATCAACACCTCTTGAAACTCTGAGCCCTTGAATAAACTTTTCCTCCTAAAATTTCTCTGGTCAGATCTTTTTAGTCCCAGCAGTTGAAAAGGGTAACCCAACCACCACTGAAGTCCCATCTGTGACTCTTTGTCCTCTTTGACGGTGCTGAACCGAGGGGATGACTTTTTGGGATGGAATTTTTCCAACAAAAGTCCATGGTAGAATGAAAGAACATTTTCAAATTCATGTTTGACTTGGGCAGCATAATCACATGCAGGGTTATTCATAAAAAACAGAAGAAAGAAAGAAAAGCAGGGTTTTGCAAAAAAAAAAAAAATCTCTTTTGAGTGCTTCCCCAATTTTCTCAGAAGCGTCTCCTCTTCCTTTGATATTCCAGCCGTTCTCTCTCACAGTCTCTTGGTTTTCTTTGTCCTGGATGTTTTCTTCTCTGGGCGGTGTTGACGGCTCCAACTCTCCAAACACGTACTTGTCGAAGCCTTTGCTCACGACGATGCCAGCAGTGACTCTCATGGACTTTATGAAATCCTGCCCTCCTTTTTTTGTGAGATTGGCCATTATACTTTGCAATCAGTTTGCATTGTATTCCCAGTGTATTGATCATCTGTCAGCCCGTGAGATGGAGCGGCAGTGACGTGGATGGGACAAAATCAGCCTCGCTGCGACAGGGAGGGGAATGTTACCGACGGAGGACTAATATGAGGAGTGGAGACCTTTCTTTTTCTTCCCTAGGTAACCTAATATTTGTGGAGGGTCAGATAATGGATGCTAAAATAAGAGAAAGCCCTGTATTAAACTCTAAGTGTTTCTCACATGGCCCTTTACAGAGAGGACCCCAAAGGTAAAGACACTGTCAAAAAATCCGCCTAACAGCAGGTGTGTGGTCCAATTGGTGGCACATTTCACGTGGCTATTTCTTGTAATCACTGCTGACAAAAATTGGAGGGGAACATTCAGACCCAGCTCGGTGAAGGTCATTTGGTGCAGGGCTGATGGCCCAGCATGTAGTTTGTCTGTATTAGTTATCTATTGCAGCATAACAAATGACTCCCAACTTATCAGCTTAAAACAACAACATTTGTTATCACCTAGTTTCTCTAGGTTAGAACTCCAAGAGCAGTGGAGCTGGGGATCAACCAGGGCTGCAGTCATCTGAATATTGCCCAGGCCTGGAGGGTTTGTTTCCAAGCTCACTCATGTGGTCATTGGCAGGAAGCTTGGATTTTAAGTGAGCCCTGCTATAGGGTTTCCCATGACGTCACTTCCTCCAAATCTACTCCTCCAAGAGCAAGGTAAGGACCCAACAGAAGCCACGGTGTTTTTCATAACATGATGTTGGAAGTGATATGCTATCCTTTCTGCTTCTAACAGTCATCCTGGCACAGTGTGGGAGGTGACTCCACAAGGACATGAATGGCAGGAGGTGGTGATCATCTTGGGGTGGCATTTTTGGAAATTGGCTACTGTGTAGCCTGTGGGTTGATTGGCTATAAGGGAGAAGCAGTTCTCATATAGCAACAATTTGAAAAGGGCAAGGAATTTTGAGAGAAGAAACAGGAGGGAATAGATGGAAAGAACTTATGGAGTAAGGGGTGTGGGAGCATCTCAGGGCTGCCCCATACAGTTGTGCTGGCTGTACACTGCACTATTTTAGGAGTGGAGGCAACCCAGCCTCTTCTTTACAGAAGTTTGCCCAAAAAGGGAGCTTTACTATAGTCACTTCTTCATGTGTAGAAATAACCCAGATGTCTCTGGAAGCTGGGTGTGTGGAGCCCATTCTCTGGGAAGCTCAGGTGGCCACTCAGTGAGTTGGTCTAACTGATATCTGTGAACCCTTGCTCTTGTGTGATGTTCTTTTCTTCTGCCAAAGGAACTGGTGCAGGTGGGTGCTGGGGGGCTGTCACGGGAGAGGAGGCTTCACTTGGGTCTGTCAGCATGACTCAGCAGCCATGGCAGCAAAGCAGAGCAGCTTTCTTCTCTTCAGCATCTACAGTTCCACTCACGTCCCCGTCCAAAAGAAGGGTGGATGGGAACACGGCCACTGGGGAATGAAGCCCCAGAGTTTCACGGATGGAGAGTCAGAAGACACCAAGTTCTGTTTCTGGATTCATCGATGACTTCCTGTTACTCTGTTATGGGGTGGATGGTGTGTCCCCGCCCAACGCTATACATCGAAGCCTCAACTCTCAGTACCCCAGAATGTGACTGTGTTTGAGAAGAGCGCCTACAGAGGGGGGATTAAGTTAAGAAGAGGTCATTAAAGTGGACTCCAATTCACTCTGCTTGGGGTCCTTATAAGAAGAGATCAGGGGGCAGGGGGCAATGAGGCACACCTGTCATCCCAGCAGCTCAAGAGGCTGAGGCAGGAGGATCATGAGTTCAAAACCAGCTTTAGCAACCGAGCAAGGCCCTAAGCAACTCAGTAAGAATCTGTCTCTAAATAAAATATAAAATAGGAGTGGGCATGTGCCTCCGTGGTCAAGTGCCCCTGTGGTTGAGTTTAATCCCTGGTACCATCAAAAAAAATAAATAAATAAATAAAGAAAGAAAGAGGAAGAAGAGAAGATTAGAAAATACTGGGGAATGATATTGGCCACATTATCTTGTTCTGTTATGTGCTGGCATGAATATGTAACAGCAAATCCCCCATTACATATTACTATAATGTACCAGTAAAAAAAAATATGGAAAAAAGAAGGGGTGTAGGACAAACACATATTCAGAGGGAAGAGCTTGTGCAGACCCAGAGAGAAGACATCCATCTACAAGCCAAGGAGAGGACTCAGAAGAACCCAACCTTGCCACTTTGCCCTCAGCCTTCTGGCTTTCAGAATTGTGGGGGGAAAAAAAATGAATTCCTATTATTTAGGCCAACCAGCCTGAGGTCCTTTCTTGTGGCAGCTTCAGCAAACTCGCGTATTCTGGACCAGTCTTTATCCTTTGTGTGCTCTGGCCTTGCAATACTTAGAATGATGGGCATCCTGTCTGCAGGGCTCACACGTGACGATCAAGCTGCCAATGTGGTCCTTTTGTAAAACTGAGAAAAGATGCCCTTCTTTCATGCAGATGCAGCCTTGCACGGGGTGGATCGGCTTGGGGAGGGAGGCACTGGAGAGATTTCTGTGTCCCTTTACCCCTAGGCTGCATGCACTTGTGCTGGGTGCAACCTGCAGGTTTTTGTGTGGTGACTCTGTCCATGAAGGAGGCTCTGGATTCCCTGCAATGGGAGAGATGCCAGCTCTGGCTGGGCAGGCTGTCCCTGCTGCTTTCCTCAAGGGACGAGAAGATAGAGGTGGCATCTCTTTCTCCTCATTGCCCTTTCTTAGAGCCAACTCAGTGGAAAACTTCTGCAAATGATGCATTAAACTTTTAAATTTACAACGTACTTTGCAAGTCTACTGTACCTTAATCACATAACACACCAAAAAGGTTGGAGAGAGCTCCTTTTAAAACATTTTATGAATTCATGGCTCTGTACTCACCGTCTCATTCTCATTTTCCACCAGAGATACTTACAAACTCCGACATTTACATATTCATATATATATAGAAATATCGCCCCGCTCAATATATAAATACATTTTAATATCACTTTGAGGAAATTTGTAGACCTGGCTACCTTGTCTCGGATTAATGAATATTTGGTTGGATGAAACTAGCTCTTCCTTGACAAATTTTCTCCACCTAAGCCCAAAGCTCAGGCCATGCCATAATTCTCTTCCCATTTCTTGGTCCCCCAAGGTTGCTCAGGAGAGCTGGAGAAGCAAGGGAGTGGATCTAGCAGACTGAACCTGGGCTTGGCGTGGTCATGGGCGGTGGACCAAGGGCTAAGGCCCATCTGTGCCCTTCTCCCCCTTGCCCTTGGTATCGGAGGGTGATCTGATGGCTTAGAGCTGCCAAGACCTGAAGCTCTGTTTCCCTGGGCTTTCCCCAGAACCTCTGGAGGCTAATCTCCATGTGGCAGAAGAACAGCAATCCCCAGGAACTGCCACTGGACGGAGCCCGTGTGTGACTACTTCAGCCTGTGGGCCACTTTCAGGGGCTCTCCAGGGGACACTGTGGTGGCCCCTCACCGTGGAAGATAATACTTACCCTCCTCCTACGTCACTTCTCTTCTCCCCTACCTGTGTTGCTGGTACTTCCAAATAAATTATTAGCCCTTACATCCTGTCTCAGGCTCTGCTTCTTGGAGGAACATAAGTGACATCCCTCTCCATATTATAAAAGACTCTGCTCCAAGCTTGGTATAGAGTCAGCTAATTGCTGTGGCCCAATGAGCTTGGCCAGAGTCGTCCCTGCTGTGAATTTGCTGCTACCGGGCACATTTAAGGTTCATATCCTGAAGCACATCCAGAGGGTCTTATAAAAACACTATGGGGTGGAGATTGTTATCCTGTTTATAAATTCTTAAGTAAAGAGGGGAGTCAGGTTTAGGAAGTGGAAGGATGGAGAGGGAATTCACAGCTCTGGTATAGGCATTCCATTCTAGAGGCTTCCCATGCTTTAAAAATGTTTAATTTTTGAGCTGACCAAAAAGTTGCAAAAGATGAAGCATGGCTTATATTCCTCACCCCCCCCATTTCTTCTTCTAGAATCACAATATGATAGATACAGAAATGAAGACAGAGGGCTGGGGTTGTAGCTCAGTGTCAGAGGGCTTGCCTCGCACACGGGAGGAACGGAGTTCGATCCTGAACTGAGTTTGATCCTCAGCACCACATAAACAAGTCAAATAAAGGTACTGTGCCCATTTACAACTAAAAATATATTTTTTTAAAAAAAATGAAGACAGAGTCACCCCTGCCTCTCTCAGGTGCCACATATCCGTGTCACTACGGGAGCTCATTCGATGCTGGTCCACAAGATTATAATGGGATCAGAACAGGAGCATGTGGCTGCCAAAGAGGTGAGAGAAAAGGAAACTGCAGGGGGAGAAAAAGAACACCTGAGGAAATTCACAGTGAGGGGTTTAGCAGAAGCTTTTGCAGACCTTAACAAGTTCCTTAAAATGTTTGAAAATAGGGGCCCTGACACTGACAGGTTTTTGTGGCTAGAGAGGGAAGTTCATGAGGTATGATCTGCTAACAACCAACTCTATGATGAAAAGGAAAACAAGCCAAGTAAACCACCCTGGACGTATTTCCCAAGGGTGACACCTGCCAAGAAGAGTTTAGGCAGGACCTTCAGGAGGGATTCCAGAAGGGGGCATCTCTATGGTAGGACGTGATATTTCCATGCCTGTGGTTCCTCTAAAGACCTCCCACAAGATGTAAAGAGAGAAGACAGTGATACTGATGACCCTGGCTCTGGTAGGCCCAGGCTAATTTGTGTGTTTGTGTCTTCATTTTCAACAAAATAGTAAAAAAAAAATTAAGAAAATAGAGAAACGTTTCCAGAATGAGGATCTAAAGAAAGTGGTTTCGTACAGCCATAGAACTGTTCTCCAAACAAAGAGTTTAAAAAGTTCATAAAGTAAAAAGTTTGGGAAATCAACTTATTATTGAAGAAAAATCTTGTGTGAAGAAGGAAAAAAAACACCACTTATTGAAGAAAGAAAAATTTTAATTTCATGTAGCTGAAGCGTGCAGTGTTTATAAAGTCGACAACAGTGTCCAGTAACTTGCGAGACCTTCACGTTCACTTCCCACTCACTCACTGGTTCACCCAGAACCACCGCCAGTCCTGCAAGCTCCCTTCAGGGGACATGTATGTACTCCTGCGCACGTTGCTAGGCACACCCGCATTTCCTAGCTCTGTCTGATGAGTGGGCCTAGGAGTGACACCTCAGGGCCAGTGAACACACCAGCAATCCAGACTTTGGGCTCTAAACACCATCTATTCTCCATGAAAAGGAACCAGGGGTTCCTAAGAGAAACAGTTGATTCTAGGGCTGAAGAATGGAAAATACCAAGATGTGCTCGGAACATCTGGAGGGTGGGAAGAAGGAGACAGCCTGGTGGAACGCCACAGTCCACACAACTTGAGCTTCCAAAACCAAGCTGGCACTGGGTCTTAGATGGGAAGACTGAATGGAGACATTTAAAAATTAGATTTTTTTTTAAAGATAAAAATCACCCTATGAGATAGGCATCATGCTCAGAAATTTACAAAATTCTTGAGGCCACACAGGAGTGAAGATTCGAATCCTGGTCTAAATACACAGAAGGCCACTACGGGCCACGCCTCTGCCATTGGGTCCAGAAGGATCCCTCCACACTGGAAAGCCCTGGCTTCTGCGGAGTCCAGCAGCACAGAAGCCCTCGGCCTCTCACTCAGATGGAGTCTCAGGTCCTGTCGGGGGTCCCGGGGAAGGGAGGGAGTTAGGCTGAGAGGCAGGGGGGCAGCAGAGGGTGGAAACCTGACCTCCCCTCTGAAGCACCCCGCGGTGCCCAGATGCCTTCCTTGATAGTAGGGCTCCCCGATTCCTCCTCATCCACCCACATTTCCTGGGGGTTGGTGGAGAGAGTGGACGATTCCCACACTGCTGTCAGAGTGACCTGGGTGATGAATGGCCCCAAACAGCAAGGAAGGGAAGGAGTGGCATTCCTCTCCTTCCAACTCTCCCTGGGCTCTAGATAAATTGCCTCTGTCGCAGCCGGGCCGGGGAGCTGTGATGTGGTTGGGTGGCTGTGTGCCAGCCTGGCCCTGCCTCCCAGCGTGGGGACTGATCCTGCTGGCCAGTTTTCAAAAAAAGAAAGAAAGAAGGGAGCAGGGGTCCACTGCTCTTTACGGTTAAAGCCTGTCTCTCCAGGGTCTTGGCCCCTTCACCGCCACCATGGTATGCCTTTCTCATGGATGAGGAGCCCACCTCTGTGTGGAGGAGGGTCTGTCCTTCGCTGTATCCACAGCTGATGCTCAGATGCAGACTGGGCCAGAGGCAGAGGGATGGATGAGATGAGCTGTCAGAGACGGGATCCTTCCTGTGCAGGTTTGGATTACCCGATGGGTTTTGAGTACTGGCCCTAAATTATCAAGATTTATCATGCTCCACTATTTTAGAACTGAAAAGGGACAGGAAGGGTGGACCCTGATTTTTCCCACTGTATCCAGTAGCCTTCCCTATCTTGGCAGTGGGACCTGGTTAACATGTCCTGCTGTGTCTGTCTTTCTTCTCAGGGCCCTGGCCTTAAGGCCGTCCCCTCCTCCCTGCCGGAATGGAGGCAAGGCATCCTGTTGTCCCCTGCCTCCACGCTCATTCTCTCTGATCCATCTTCTACCAGCAGCTAGGGCAAGGTACACGTCTCCCCCAGGATCTTCCCTTGGCCCTTCATCATGAAGATGGAATCTGCCTCTGACTGCATGTGTGTGGTCTTCCATGACTCTGCCCTGCCCAGCCTGGCTGACTTCTCCAGCTTTGTCTTTCTCTGATCATGCTGAAGCAAACTCTAATCTTCTTCTTATTCTGATATTTTTTTCTTTTTTTTTTTCAGGACTGGGATCAAATCTAGGGCCTAAATTTGAATACTAGCAAACACTTTACTGCAGAGCTATATCCCCAGCCCTTTTTCTTTTTGAGACAGGGTCTCACTAAATTGCCCAGTCTGCCCTCACACTTGTGATCCTCCTGCCTCAGCCTCCTGAGCAGCTGGGTTACAGGTGTACACCACCGCCTCCTGTGAAACTCTAATGTGGGAGGATCTGCTTTCTCTTGCCATTAGTAAGGTGCTTAAACGAGCTCCTGGTTATCACTAGAGCCTCAGCTTCCTCTAGGAGGCCCTCCCCAGGCTAGATTAAACGCGGCCTTCCTCTGCCATCCCACGGAAGCCTCCTGACATCATCATCTGGTGAGCTCATCAGACTCCCCATGACTGAGGCTCGCAGGACCTGCCACACACTACCCTTGCAGGTGAGTGAGCCGATCAGATCCTCACCCCATTCTCTGTTGAACGTCTTCATTTTCAGATACTGTTGCTGGGGCACAAAGCAGGGAAGGGACTCTCCCAAGGCTTCAGAGCTTTGTCTGTGTCAAAGTCAAGCTTGAACTTAGCTCAGGCTCCTGACTGCTTAGCTGTACCACGTGTGGTCAGTGAGTAGCAGACACGATTGCTTTCTCGTGGCTTTGAGCAGGAGGGCTGAGCTCCCGGGGCTTCCAGCAGAATTTCCAGAATTGCACCTGCTTTGGGAGGACCTGAGGGCTGGCCAGTTACACCCCCGAGGCTGGCTTCCTGTTTTTGTGAGTGAAGGTTTAGGGGGACACAGCCGTGCCCAGTTATTGACATGCTGTCTGTGGCTGCTCTGGCCCCACCATGGCAAAGCTGAGTGGCTGTGACAGAGATCTTAGGGCCCCCAAAAATCTAAAGTACCTGCCATCTGGCCACTGAAGAAAAGCTTCACAGAGCTCCACCAGACCGGCCCACATGGCTGGGAAGTGGACAAGCTGAGGTGGGGACAGAAGACCTTTCAGTTTCCCAATCCCATAAATTCCAAATTTTGTACCAATTTCCAAGGTCTCTCCCCTACATCCGAGACAGGCCACATGCAGAGGGGACATAAAGACTAATGGAGGTGGGGGTGGCGAGGGCCAGGTCCAGCCTCAGTCGGCTGCTGGGCTCTCTCTTCCCTAAGTTCCTCCCTGCTCTGGGTCTGCGGCTCAGCCAGCTGGCGGTCTATGGCGTCCACGCCAGAAGCTCCAGCCTCTTCTTCAGTCCTTTTGGGGCTTCAGTTCCTCACAGAACAGCTGGTCATCCTCCTGGTGCCCAGGGCCAGCTCGCTCCCTCCAGGCGGGTGCCAAGAATTGAAGTCCACATCTCCTCCAGACGGCTTCCTCTCTCTCGGGGGGGACCCATCACCCCAGATTGGTTTCGGCGCCACAGATGGAGTTGGTTATGAAAGTGCATCGATAAGTGGAATTGGGGAAAGATGAAACACCCAGCGTGGAGAAGAGCTGGTGTGTGTGTGCGCGTGTGTGTGTGTAGGAGTGTGGGAGATGGGAGTTGGGATTTCAGAGGGGACAGAGGGCAAAGGCTCAGGGAGGGGAGGGTGGTATGGGGCTGTCAGCAGCAAAAAAAAAAAAAAAAAAAAAAGTTGATTTAAAATCAATTTCCCAGCCAAGAAGAATCGCTCTTGCCAGGGTGAAATACAACGTGAAATGGCACAGAAAGGCGAGCTCGGGCCCTGCCCTGGTGCGCCTCGGGCTTTACTGCTTATGAAGCAAATAAATAACTTTCTCCATGAGCAGCGAGGCTGGCACCATCATCACAGCAGGCGCGGATGCCAGGTGTCACTAGCGCTGGTCCCTGGACTGGGGGCATTCAGACTCGAAAGGGCCGAGGCCCTTGGGGGCTGCCCTGGCTCTGCACACCGGCGGCTTCAGCCTCCCACCGTCTCGGGCACACTCGCCACGAGCCCACCCTTTGGCCTTCAGTTCTGGTACGAGCAGTCTTTTGGTGGCCAGTGACTTGGTTTAGGTTACCAGGGGCTCTACTGGCTGAAGTTGCCAGATTTCAGCCCGGGCACGGGCTCACACACTTCAGTTCTCCTGGGATAGGCCCCTCGGTCTCTCTGGATGTCACATCGGTTCTCCCAGGTGCGTTTTCTCTATCTCCCCAATCCCAGGTTTCACCCACAGAGGGGACAATGCTTTGTTTTCCTTGATTTTAATCTGAGGAATCTCAGGGAAGGGCTTGGGACGGCATGCCATGGTGTCATGCCTCTTTGGGGACCTAGATCCCGCTGAAACTAAGTGCCTGGGGTTGGAGGAGGAAAATGAGCCCAAAGAAGTGGACATTCAGTTCCCAGAGAAAGGAAGGATCTGGACACAACTCTGCTGTCCTGGGGTCCTGCCCTCCGAGCCTCCCAGCGGCAAAGCATGTCCCTCCCACCTGCCTGCACCTTAGGGTGTCTCCTCTGCTCCTCACCATCCGACCTGCAGTGCCACCCTGACACTGCGAATCCTCCAAGGCTCAGATGCTGCCCACAGATCACGGCTTCCTCCCCTTCAGCGGGTCTCCTGCAGGGGCTGAGGGGCTGTGCGGCTCTTGGCTGCAGCTTTGGCCAGTCTCCATCTTTCCTGTGTCGTGGAAATGTGCTCTCCTGGCTTCGAGGCCACCTCCCTGCCTGCCCTCAGTGCACTCCCGGCCCTTCCTCTGCAGAGAGCTGCCGATCCCAGAGCTCCATTGGTAGTGGCTAGTGAATGGGGTGTTCCGCCCTGCACGTGGAGCCAGCCCACCTGTGGTCACTCTCTCCAAGCCCAGGTGTTTTCAAAGGAGCCCTGACAGTCTCAGGGATTCACAGGGCCATGAGGAGGGGCCGAGTGGGGAGGCTGCAGGCACTGGAGGAAAAGGAGCAGGAGAGGGCTGCTTCCTGAGTTTCTGCTTCATCTTTCCAGGGGTGGGTGCTGAGGGGTGGGGTCTCAGAGCGATGCTGGGAATTCCAGGGCCTTCCTTGGGGGAGACCACCTTGGGCCTCAGGATTAGGGCTGTGACTAGCTGATGGGGCTGTTCCTTGTAGGAGAGACCTGTCCCTTCTGCTGTCCTTGGCCAGCAGACACGGTGGCCATGATTCAGGACACTCTGGAGGAGGTGTTAGTCCTGGGTAGGAGGTTAGGTGTCCTGATACTTAACAGGTCCTTCCAAATCCTAAATCACTGTGACTGTCTGGCTCAGGCTGAGATTGTGCAAGAGGCCCGGGTCCTCTCATGTCTGGAGGGCTCTGGGTAGACCAATGAGCCCCCTCTTGCTTGTATCTTCTGGAGTCTTCTCTGTGTCCTGGAGAGACACCTTTGTCCCATTCCTCCTCCACCCAAACACCAGGGTCTGACTTCTGCATTTAATTGTCCAAATAGCACTTATTCAGTTCCATTCCGTTCCTTCTATAGGCCAGGCAGCTCTATGGGTGCTAGAGACTTGGGAAGAGAGGGAGAAAGAGAATAGCAAGTACTGCCGCTGGACTGGAGGAGTTCCCGGAGAGGAGGACCTCAACTCAGGACAGGTGGGGTCCTTGGCGTATATGGATGGAAAAGGGTTTCAGCACATGCTGATAGAGACACAGAGATTTATTTAAGTAAAAGATACACATTCAATGGGGGAATTCAGGTTATCTCAAGAGTGGGACATCTTTTGGGATAAAGAAAGTAACTTATATTCCAGGGAGAAAGTAGGCCATCTCCAGGGGAGAGATAGCAACCCGTTGTTCCGGGGTGTAAACATTTGGAGAGCGATGGTAGCTAGGGCCTAAACTAGAGGTGGAATCAGGGGGGACTTACACAATTCCAGGCCAGTTTTCTCTATGCTTGAGTATTGCCTTTGAATCACGTATTGCTTTTTTGCAGGCAAGAACAGGACCGAGGCCATGGGCTAAGGCTGTGGGCTGGTTGCTTACCGTTGCTTGCGTGGCCTTTCAAAGGTTGATGGGCATTACCTGCATCCCAGCAGTTCATAGGGCACTTCTCTTTTGAGACTCAGTATATTCTTTCTTTGCCCATATCCCCAAATTCCTGTCTCAGTACGAGGACAAAACCAAGAAAACACCACCACCACCAATGACAGTAATAAGGACACTCACATGGTGCTTCTCATGTGCTGGGAACATGGAGGGAAACCAGCCACACAAGGTCACTACCCTCACAGAGCAAATGTTCTAGCAAAGGAGGTACACACTACAGCAAAGGTGCTGTCCTTGTGAGAAAAGAAGAGGATTGGGGGTGCAGAGGAAGGCTCATTTAGAAAGGGTGTTCAGGGAAGTCCCTGTAGAGGAAAGGGTATCCATGGAGACCTCCGAGATGAGGGGAACCATCCAAGAGATGAAAGGAAACATTCTAGGTGGGGAGAGAGCGCAAGCAAAGGCCCTGGGGCATGGGCTTGTTTGCAGAACAGAGAGGAGACCAGGGTGGCAGAAGCTAGTGAGTAGGATGAAGGTGAGGTCAGAGATGTTGGGAGAAGCAGAGATGGGAAGGCCAGGCACAGAAACTGGGATCTGAGTAAGGAGGTGATATCTTTGGTCACACATTTTTAGAAGGCCTCGTTGGCCTCAAGGGGGCGGGAGGTGAGGGTGGAGGCAGCACACCTGTACCAGGTAAAACACTCTGGAACAATGTAGGCAGGAAGAGGCTGGGGGAGGATGAAAGGTGGGGGTGGCTCTTTATGCCACGGCCTTTAGGCCACTGGCTGTGAGCAATCTGGGGCCTACGTGGTGGGTGGAGAGACCCAGACGCCCAGACACATTACCTATGGGGACAATTCCAAGGCTGTCCCAGGACCTCTGGTGCATTTCCTATGGGGTGGAGTCGAGGCCTTCCCAGGTTCACAGCCCTGACATGGGCCCTGCCCTCCTCTGCACCAATCTTCCCTCATCCTCCCGTGGTCTCAGCAGTTAGTGCACCGGAGTGTCCCTCCCATGTCCTAGGCTTCGTCCAACACATTTCTAAACACCAACTATGACTCAGGCGTAGAAGATACAGGGAAAAAATAAGATTTCCCTTGACTTAAAGAACTCACCATCTGGGGACAGAGAAAAAGAATCACAAGACATCCTCAAGGGCACAGGTGGACAGCCAGCACCTTGATGGGAGAGAGGGGCAGGGACAGCCTGGGGCCCAGGGGTCTTGGCTTCTATCCTCTTCCTGGGGATCTCCAAGATGTGCTCCCTGGGAGCTGACCCTGACTTCCCAGGTGCCTCAGCACTCCCGGCCCCCGCCCGCTCCTCTGACCCTGACAGTGACTGTCCACATGTGTGCCTCCCGCTGGTCTCCAGCTCTTCCAGGGCAGGGCCCTCGTCTCATTCACCTTGGCATTGCCGGGCTCTGGACTGTGGCCTGCCAATGGTGGAGTCTGGATGGTGCTTCCTCTCTCCTCGATGCCCTGCATGGCAGAAGGAGGCCCCATTTGGCTACTGAAGAAAAGGTCATTTGATGGTGGCCGAGCTGCACCCCTGCCGGGAAGAGGTCTCTGCCCCTTCAGGGTGGCAGCTGCTCTTCTCGCCTCTGGCTGCCAGAAAAGCACAGCCTGTTTTAAGAAGGCCCCAGGTTTCCCATTGAGGCCAATACATAGGAAATTAGTTGAAAATGTCTGTTACACACAGAAAACACTCCAAGACATAATATCCAGAGAGTGTGAGGGGTTTGACTTATTTTTATTGTGCTTTGGTACCAAAGGAGGTACCCAAGTCCGTGTGCATTGGGGGCTGGGGGGTGGCTCAAACCACTTCAATGCCATCCTAAGGCTTTCCAATTTGTTGCCTTTCTCACCCACCGATGGGCTCCCTCCTGAGCTTGGAAGAAGTCCTTCTAGGGGGCAGTTGTGCCCAGCAACTGGATGGGTGGAGAGGGGATGCAGGAGGCAGCACCCAGAGAATTTCCAGCACCTTCTTTCCACATTTAAAATGCCAGTTTATGAGCTTTGTCTCTTTAGCCTGCAGTTTCCTTGCTGCGGAGCTTACATTTTTATTTGCAGGAATAAAAGCCGGTGGCAGTTGATGGGGCCCTCTGGAGTTGGAGGCAATAACCATTGTGGGCAACGCCGCCTGGAAAATAATAATAAGAAGAATAAGCAGCAAAGAGGGGAGACAGCTTTTCGAAGGTGGCTGATGAATGGCTACAGATTCCACTGCACCTCCACCCCCCCCCCGCCCCCGCAAACACACCTGGCCTTCCTGCAGCCCTGCACAAATCCCACTGAACGTGGAACAGAGATAGGCCAGACGGGAAGGAAACTGAGGTTCATCTGAGGGGTCCTGCAACTGGCACAGGACAGCAGCTTCTGGGAAGAGCAGGTGATGTTACATCTGGAAGCGGGGAGGGAGGGGAGATGAGGCTGTAAGAGGCTTCATTTCCTCACTCGTATAAGGTTATGAGCATATCCGCCTCAGTTCATCAGGCAGCTCAGATGAGGTAGACAGAGCAGGGTGCACAGAGCCTGGCACCTAGGCTTATAGATCCTTGAAAAATAATAGATGCACATCTGTCTTCCCTTCTCAAGGCTGAAGGTGGGACCAGGAAAGCTTTTTCAAGACAGGGAGGAGGAGCCCAAAGCAGAAGGATTTGGCTTCAGTCTGGTCCCTTGCACATGCCCACTGTTAGGTGGGTACTCTCAAAGGCTGCCGAGATGCCTCCCAGCCACAGTCCTTCTCCTCCACCTTTGGCCACCCTGCCCTCCTGTATGGTGCTCCTGTGTGCATCCCTTCTGCTGTCCCCTCCAGTCTGTCCTCTTGTCTGAGTTCTGCATTGATGACCTTACTGTGCACAGGGTCTTGTTCATGATCATGAAGACCATAGTGACCGCTGATTGGTATAAAGGTGACCACCATCTCTTTCTTTCAGGGGAGGGGAACACTAACATTTTGGGTTCACACCAAATGCCAGATGCTGTGTGAATCATGGGATAGTACTAGATTTTTTTTTCTTGATCTAGAAAACTAGCACTGAGCTCTCCATCCTACATAGGAGCAACCTTAGACTGAGGTTTGAGTGGCTTGCCCCAGTCCCTGCTGTGAGGGAGGGGGCGAGAAGGCTAGGACCCAGGCTCATCAGACTCCAGCACCCAGGTCCTCTTGATGGCACCAGGAACCTCCAAGAGGGATAATGAGACCTGAACTCTAAGAGGCATTTAGTTAGTAGACTGAACAGAACTCGCTTGTCCCAAGAAGATCTTGGATACCCTTTCCTCGGAGGGCCCAGGCTCGGAGCCTCTTGGAGGGAAGGCACTGGAAGGAGAATTTGGTTGACCCTGTCTTACTATATTGTGACCAATGGCCACTTGTCCTCTCCTTGAACATTTGCAGAGACAGAGATTCCTCTCAGCAGGTAGCACGTTGCAGTACAGTGATTCTCAAAGATTGGTACCCAGAACAGCAGCTTCAACGTCACGGGGAATGTTATTAAAAATACAAAGTCTTGGGCTGCACCCCAGAATCAGCATCAGATACTCAAGTGCAGAAGGTGTCCTAGTGCAATTTCTAACATTTACTGAGCACTGTGGTTGCCAAAATGAAGTCCCTCCACCCAAAGATACCCATGTCCTGTGAATAGGCTACTTTATATGGCAAAAGTGATTTTTTTAAGTGCGATTATGGACCTTGATTTAGGGAGGTCATGCAGGTGAGTCTGATATAACCACGCAGGTCCTTATGAATGGGAAGTAGGATCCAAGAGAGGAGCAGAGATGCGATTACAGAAAGACTGGGGTGATGTGGCCACGAAGCAAGGGATGCAGGCGTCCTCCGGAAGCTGGATGAGGAAAGAAGTGCATCTTGGAGCTTCTGGAAGGAGCCAGCCCCACTAACACCTTGATCTTAGCCTTGTAAGATTTTGTCCTTCTGCCCTCCAGAACTACGAGAGAATCAATTTCCATTGTTAACAGCCACGAAATCTGTGGCATTTGTTACCACAACAGTAGGAAAAAAAAAAAAATCCAAGCACTTGCTGCGTGCTCAGCTCTGTTCTTGGTGCCTGTTTTTAGGCTTTTCGGCACTGTGACCAAAAGACCTGACAAGAACGATTTTAGAGAAGAAGAGATGTACCCGGGCTCACAGTTTCAGAGGTTTCAGTCCATGGCCAGCCTACTCCATCGCTCTTGGCCTGAGATGAGGCAGAACATCATGATAAAAGGGTATCGGGGAGGAAAACAGCTCAGGACAAGGTAATCAGGAAACTGAAAGACAAAGCTTCACTCACCAGGGACAAAAATATAACCCCCTAATGGCATAGCCCCAGTGAACTACCTCCTCCAGCCACAGCCGACCTGCCTACAGTCACCACCCAGTGACTCCATATCAGTGGATCAAGCCATTGATTAGGTCATAACCCTCCATAATCCAATGACTTCACCTCTGGATGTTCTTACATTGTCTCCCATATGAGTTTTCTGGGGACACCTCATATCTAAACCCTAACAGTATCTGCAGGAAGGGTAGAATGAGCCATCCCTTATTATTACTAACCCATCCATCCATAACGACCCTGTCATGTGAACATCACTATCACACTCTTTTTACAGATGAGAAAACTAAGGCCCAGGGAGGTGCAGACACTTGCCCAGGGTCATAGGTCAGCAAGGGGCAGGGCATGAACTAGTTAGAGCATGAATTAGATGCTTGGCTCGGAGCTTGTCTCCGGTGGCTGATTCACTCTGCCTCCTGCTTGGCTCACCTCTGCACCCTTCACCTGCCTGCACCTCCTCTATTCTCTGCAGAGCACCAATGTTTCATTGCAGCTATTTGATACTAGCAGCAAACCTCTGCCTGATGCTGGACCAGCAAAATAGACCAACCCCAAACCTTGACCTCCCTTAAGCAGCCCTGAGTCCTTTCTAACTTCTCCCTCTCCAGCTTGGAAAAGCCTTTGCATTGACGACGTTCCCAGATGCTGGGCATGGCTCCCAGTGGTTCCAGCTGTGCCCTTCTTTCTTGTGGTCGAATGAACCCCAACTTGGCTGGCATTGGGGCTGGGTAGACCAGAGACCAGCCTCAGGAGAGCTGCCGGAATCTATTCCCAACCCAAATGCCCTTCCTGGCCAGGTGCCAGGGCTCTCTCCAAGGTGCCCGTCCATCCTGCAGCGAGAACTCCGTTCTGGCTCCTGTTTGCAATGTATACACGTGTGTGGGTTGAATTTCATTCATGCCAGAATCTGACACATAGGCAGAATTTTTGTAGCAAGCATATGGCTGGGAACCCTCAGAGAGCGTGCTCAGTGGGGATCCATTTTGAACCAAGATTTCTAGTGAAAACATAAGTCAGCAAAGAAATGAAAGCTAGGATGTGCACAGGCAAGGCCTTCACCTGCACATGCAGGACTTCCAGTGTGTGTGTGCATGCGTGTGTGTGAAGAGTGTGCAATGAATGCTTGACCCTGTGTGTTGGAACAGGTTTGAGTGTGTAGCTGTGTTTGTGTGTTATATGACTACTCATTTATTGTGAATTGTGAGGTGTGTAAATTTTGAGAGTGACCGTGGGCCTGTGAGTGGTGGATGGTTTCAGGGTTGAGTGTGTGCATGGGTGAGTGTGGGCTAAACTTGCTTTCTTGAGTGCAGGTGAGTGTGTCTGATATGTGAGTAGTGAAGTGGAGTAAAGGTGTGCACATGGGGACATGGGAGCACCTTTGTGAAGGAGAGAGGGTTCATGTGACGTGTGCATCCTAGGTGTGTTCACTGAGTGTGCCGGCGATGTGAGTGAGCTCGTGGGCGTGCATGCACTTCTCCATCTCGGTGCATGCTCCTGGCTAGCCAGACTCCAGGTTGCCTCTCCACCCATCGCTGGCAGAGCCTGCTGCTGTTTCATGACCGAGCCTCCCAGGCACAATTTAGATGATGCCCAAACAACCAGGCCGTTCAGCAAAAGATCCTGACGGATGGGCCACAAGTTCCTTATATCCATCCCCACAGCTGTCCAGCTGATTTAGACCTGCACTTGGCCATGGAGCTGGTCAGCAGCCCTCCCCCAGGGCCCTGTAGCCTGGAAGGCCTGTGTGCACACCAGATCCACAGAGGCCACTGTATCTCAGCCGCTGCCTCCCAGAAAATGAGAAAACAGGGTTGACACAATTCCCTTGGATTTGGTCACCAGAGGTGGAGATTTGGGGTCTAAGCCCCTCCATTACTTCTGTCTTGCTCTGCAACTTCTTTTTTTTTTTGCAACATAGTAAATCATTTTAGTGTTACAAACAGACTGGGCACAGCAAACACAGGTTTTCCAAGTGAGGGTTTTTCTTTGTTGTGTAGACCTGATGGAGAGTTGGAAATTGAAACTGAGGGTGCATTTGAAGGATTCCATTTAGAGAGTACAGACTGGAGAAATGGCCGAATGGGCTAAGTGGTCTAAGCCCGTGGGAACAGCCGGGCAGTGACTGCTCCTTGGGCTGTCGCTGCTGTTTATAGAGTACTCTTGCACTTGGTGGCACATTTTGTTCTTATAGTCCTGGGGAGCTGTAATGGTCACATTTTAGGTGACACATCTGAGACTCTGAGAGGTTAAGCGTCTTGTCCAAAATCACACAGCTGAACGAGGTGGGATCAGAGTTTAGGGGTAGAAGATAAGACTGCTTTAAACATGGGATGTTGGAGTAAGTGCTTTTTCCTCCATGACATGTCCACACACAAACCCTGGTCTTTCCGACCATATTTCATTTTTTGGTACCCTCTCCTTAGTGGTGATAATTTTGACTCCAATCAAGGGTAGACAAATCAAGGTGGCCAAGCCAGGAGCTCAGGGTGGAATGGCAGCTGCAGGACTGCTCTGTGCCACATTTTGTGAGGGCCATGGAGGGAACACTAGACCTGCTCAGGAGGCTAGCCTCCAGCACCTGTCACCTTCTCACTGGGTGTCAGTAGGGAAGTCGTTAGTTCATCTGCATAGTCCCGACAGGGCCATCTGTCACCCTTGGCCACCCTTCTTACCCCCCATATCTCCCGGGGGACTCCCTCTGCCCATATGGTGCACTGGGTGTGGCTTTACCCCGGATTTTCCGCACAGAAGGTTCTACTCAGGCGTGGCCTAGGTGGTGGCACTGTGCTCACCTGGCCTGAGTGACTGGCTCAGGAGTGGGCATGTGACTCAGGCAGAGCCCAGAGAGGACAGGAGATGTTGGCTGGAACCGTCAGAAGCCGAGTCCACACTCTCCCACTGGACACAAGAGATCAGGAGACTGGATCTGCGGAGCAGGAGCAGGCCGCCTCCACCCGGAGCCTGGGGGACAGAGACAAAGCCTGGTGAGCGAGAGCAGGCAGCAGGCAGAGCTCGAGAACGGGACCTTGTCTGAGCCTTTGAAACCAGTTACGCTGAAGCTTGCTCACTGATTAGTGTGCAGACCCCCGTGCCACATCAAAGAAGCTGACGGGCAGCGGTGGAAACCACACCTTTCCTTTAGCAAGGGCCTGGGGCAACGGGACGGCTCTGCCTCCCTTGGTTCTCGGCTTCTATCTCTAGGTCCAAGGTGGCTTCTCAAGTGCTTGTTTGCTCCCTAGAGAGAGGGGAAAGAGGAGCGGGTAAGTATTTTTTTTTCCCTCAAATTGTTGATTGAGTTATATTTTTCATCCAATAATTAACAACTTTGAAGTGTACAGTCTTACAATTTTTGACACATGTATACTGTCATATAACCATTACTACATTCAAAGTAGAGGTCATTTCAACCTTATGTCAGTCCCCTACCATGACCCCTGGCCCCAAGTGACACCAGCCTGTTTCCTATCCCTGTGCTTTTGTGTTTCCCAGAATTTCACATAAATAAATCTTATGTATTCTTCTCATTTGGCTTCTTTGTCTTAGCATCATGTTTTTGAGGCTCAGCCATGTGATTGCATGAATCATTTTTACTTTGCTTTATTAAACTGGCCAGAAACTCTAGGACGAGGTGGAATAGAAATTGCGAGAATGGCCACCCTGGCCCTGACTCTGAGAGGAAAAGCATTTGATCTTCAATATTAAGTATGATCTTAGCGTTTGGTTTTTCATAGTTGCTCTTTATCAGGTTGAGGAAGTTCTTTCTAATTCTCTTAGTTTGCGGAACATGTCTAAATCAGGAAAGGAATGCTTTTCTGCACCACGGAGATGATCGTATAATGTTTCTGATTCATTCTGTTGATACAGTGCATTGTATTGATTGACACTTGAACCAATCTTGCATTCTTGGGATAAAATTTACTTGGTCATGGTGTCTTACCCTTTTATATATTGTTGATTAGATTACTAGTGTAATCTAATCAACAATATAGGGTTGTTGTAGGGTTTTTTCATTTATGAATGAGGGATATCTTGTAGTTTTTTTTTTGTACTATCTTTGCTAGATTTTGATATTAGGGTTATGTTGACCTTATAGGACGAGTTAGAAAGTATTTCTCCCTTTTGTACTTGTGTAGAATTGGTGTGATTTCTTCATTAAATGTTTTTAGTAAGATTCATCAGGGCAGCCATCTGGGCCTAGAATTCTCTTCATAGTGAGGATTTTAACTACAAATTCAAATTTCTTAATAGTTACAGGGACTTTTCAAGATGTATTTTCTTCCTTTCCGTTTTTCCCTGGGGATGGGGGAGTGGAGGCTACTGGGGATTGAACCTAAGAGTGCTTTCCCACTGAGCCACATTCCCAGCCCTTTTTATTTAGAGACAGGGTCTTACTAAACTGCTTAGGGCCTCAATAAGTTGCTGAGACTGGCCTTGAACTTGTGATCCTTATGTTTAGTCTCCCCAGTTGCTGGGATTATAGGTGTGCACCACTGTGCCCATGTTTTCTTTTGGGTGGACTTTGATAGTTGGTGTCTTCCACCCCCCCCCCATAGCTTTACTGAGGTAAAATTGAAGTACACTAAAATGCATGTATTTGAAGTATGCAATTTGATTAGTTTTGACATGTATGTAACCAATGCAATCAATATAGAAAGCATTTCCATTACTTTTTAAAATGTGAAATCATGCAGACTGTGTTTCCTGCATAATTTTATTACATTGGAAATCAATCAACTTAAGATATATAGAACTCCACTCCCACATGTCAACTATTTCAAAATGAAATGGTGCACTTCTAAATATCTCAGAGGTCAAGGAAGAAAGCACAAGAAAAGTAAATAAAAAGTGCTCTGAATTAAGTGATGATAGAAGCTTAAAATATCAGGATCTCTGAATGAAACAGTACTCAGATGAACATTTATAACTTAAAGTCCTTGCATCAGGAAGAAGCTAGAATAATGATCAAATTGTTTTCAAATAGGTAGCAGGAAGGAAAAATAGGAGTAGGAGCAGAAATATATGAAATAGAGAAGAAGTAATAGAGTTAAAATTTGATTAAAAACAAGCAAGTCTAATCAGGAAAAAAGCAAGAACACAAAAATTAATATCAATGGAAAAGGAGCTATCAAAATAATCCTACAGATTCTAAAATATATTAATGTAACATTACAATTGTATGCCAACATATGTGATAGCTTACATAATGTGGTCTATATTAGAAAAGGATCTGTGTGCTGCTGAGAAGAAACTGTATTCAGTTATTGATGGATGAAATATTCTCTAGTCTGTTAAGTCTAAATTATCAATTGTATTTGATTCTTGAAATTGAGAAGGGTTTGTTTGATGTGCATAAATGCTCCATTGTTTGGGGGTAGTTGGTGTCTTCTAAGGGATTTTTTCCAGTTCATCTAAGCTGTTAATCTATTGGTGTAAAGTTGTTTACAATATTCTCTTATTATGATTTTAACATCTCCAGTATTTGTAGTTATGCCTTTTCCCTCTTGATGTTGGTCATTTATGTGTTCACTACTTTTTTCTTGATCATTATAGTCAGAATTTATCAAATGTATTGATCTTTTAAACAAATAAATTTTGTTTTCATTGATTTTTTCTTCTCTATTTCTGTTTTTTCCCTTGTGGTGCTGGGGACTGAACCCAGGCCTTCTCACATGCTAGGCAAGCACTTTACCACCAAAGTACATCCCTGGCCCTTTTAAAATTTTATTTTGAAACAGGGTTGCACGAAGGTGTCTGGCCTGGCCTCAAACTTGTGACCCTCCTGCCTCAGCCTATAGACTATCGGAAATCACAGGGGTGCATCTTGCTTCTGTTTTCTTTTCAGTTGGTTTTGGCTCTGTTCATTTTCTAGTATGTGACTATATAGGCTTAGATTGTTGATTTTAGTCTTTTCTTCTTTTCTAATATGAGTTTCTTAACATAATTTGCCTATATATCATTTTATCTGGATTTCACAAATTTGGTCTATTACATTTTCATTTTAATTAAATTAAAGAAAAAGACTTTTTTATTTGATACCAGGGATCGAACCCAAGGAAATTAATCACTGAGCCACATCCCTAGCCCTTTTAATTTTTTATTTAGAGACAGGGCCTCACTGAGTTGCAGGGAGATCATTAAGTTGCTGAGGCTGGCTTTGAACTTGTGATCTTCCTGCCACAGCCTCCTGAGCCATTGGGACTACAGGCATGCACCCTCACGCTGGGCTGATAATTTCTAATATCATTTGTGATTTCTTCTTTGACCCACATGTTATTTAAATGTGTTGTTTCATTTCCAAATAATTGAGGTTTTGCAAACATCTTTCTATTATCAATTTCTAGTTTCTAGTGTGATAAAAGATTTCAATGCTTTCAAATTCATTATTGAGTTTTGGGTCCTGAATATGGTCTATTTTTTAGGAATATTATTTGTTTACTTGAAAGGAATGTGCATGCAGGTATAGAATGGAGTGGTCAATAAATACTAGTTAAGTCAAATTTTTGAAAGTGAGATTTGCCTGGCGCAGTGGCACATACCTGTAATCCCAGCAGCTGAGGCAGGAGGATTATGAGTCCAAACCCAGCCTCAGCAAAAGCAAGGTGTTAAGCAACTCAGGGAGACCCTGTCTCAAAATAAGGCTGCAAAAGTGGCTCTGAGTTAAATCCAGTATCAAAAAAATAAATAAATAAAAAGAAGAAAAATAGAAAGTGAGATTCAAGTCTTATTGCTTTCTGGGGGAACTTTTTCCTTTAATGACTAAGATTAATATGTTGAAATGAGTAACTATAACCATGGATTTGTCTGTTTCTCCTTTCAGCTATATCAGGTTTTGCTTCACGTGTTTTGAAGCACTACCAATGGGTGCCAGCACATCCGATATTGTTATATTGTCCTAATGAATAGCCCTTTTATCACTACAGTTGCCCCATTTTGGAATGTGACTTGCTTTGATGAGGCCCAGGAATGCTCCCAGGAATGCTTGGTGGGATGGCCACAAGGTGGAAAACAGGTGGGCTGAAGGGGAAGGGCAGGATGGAGCGTCAAAGGACACATTAATAACAACCTCCTAGCTCCCAGTAGGGAGGGGAATTCCTGAGACAGGTTACTTGGCAACAGGTTGGAGCAGGGGCAGGTTCTTGATGAGGATAGAGGAAGGGCTCTGAAGGAATTAACATTTCAATCCCTCAGGGGACAGTCTCCAACTTGTGGGGCTTACTAAAAAATTGGCCTGACTTGACCTGACTTGACTCAATTTACTTATCTATACTGCCTGCCTGCCTAATTCTGGCTTCCTTCTCTCCTCTAATTTTAGGCACTCCTTACTGCTGTAAGGAAACGGGACAACAACCGTTCTGGCTTCTTCGAGCTGGAAGCGGGAGGTGTGGGGTAAGCAGTTTTGGAGTTCCCTTTTAGAAGTCAGTAAGGATTGATGTCTGGTTGGGGAAGAACAGGTTGTAAAGTCATCTGGGGATGAGTGCTTCCTTTTCATTAATTGGGGTCTGCATTATCCTATCTGTCCTGTAGGCAATGGCTTATTATCTTAAATTAACCCAGGTTGTGTGTTCTTGAAGCAGTACCTCATACAACTTTAATTTGGAGAACACCAGCTTGATATAATACTCTTTTAAAGCTTCTACCTTAAAGACTTGTATACCTTGGTGTAGATCTCGGTGGAAACTCCAAATAGGATACCACGGGTTATCGGTGACGAGTTCTGCATCCTGCCAGGATACCAGCTATGGCCCCCTTCTCTCTCCCAGGAGAAGTCTATGTTACCCGCTTTTTAATAAATTCTGCCTTATATGCTTGCCTCAGTGTGCTTTGAAATTATCTTTATCTGATAAATCTATCCATCCAAGCTTTCTTTTGATTAAAGTTTTGAGGATCTTTTTTCCTCACCTTTTGATTTCAAACCTATCTGATCTTTACAATAAAACGGAGTGTTTACAATTAAATTGAGTGTTGCTTTTTTAGTTAAGCTGACAATCACTGCCTTTTTGTTGGCTTGTTTAAGCCATTTAAATTTAATATGATTGTCAATATGGTTGGATTTAAACATGACATTTGTTGTTTGTGTATGTCCCATCTGTTTTGTTCATCTGTATTCTTCTCCTGAAAAAAAATTTTAAGATTCCATTTTATTTCCAATACATGCATGTGTATAGTTTTGCTTTATGAATTGCTCAAGAGTGGATATATTAACCTATTGCAGGCTACCTTGAAGTGATGTTTACTAATTCACATGCAATGCAAGAACTCTTGGCCTTTGTGCTATAGTTGTTATATATTTAATTTCTATGTGTGCTATTAATCAGAAATTACTTGTTTTTTGACAATTACCTTTTAAGGTGATTTTAAAAAATAAGAAAAAATTTCCTTTATATTTATCTCTATAATTACCAATTTGAGGGTTCTTCATTCCTTTGTTGAGTTCCAGACTTACTTCAGTTATTTTCCTTCTGCATAGAGGGGTTGCTTTAATAGTTCCTGTATACTGCTCATATGCATGGATTTTTAATCTATCATATGTATTTAGTCTGCCTTCATTTTTAAAAAGCTATTTTTGCTGGGTATACCCAAATATTATGCTTGGTATGCTAAAGATGCTGATCCTTTCTGTACTGCTTTTACAACTTTTCTGTAAATATAAAATTATTCTAAAATTAAAAGCTTTTTAAAAGTAAACAGATCAAAGCTACATGCATCAATAGGGATGAAAAAATCACAAGTACAATGAAAGAAATCAAAGAGAAAAAGATGGATTAGGAGTTATTGTTCACTTAATTTGGGAAATGAATTTGCCCATACTGTTAGAAATCCAGGTCTCCTGGAGAAATAGTCTTAGAGGGTGTGACTGTTAATTCTGAGTGATACTCTGATTTTGGCTTGGGTGGTGGCCACACCACACTAGTGTGTTCACTTTATGTTTATAATTGAGGAATATACTCATTCGTTCACCTGTGTGTGTGTGTAGATATTTAATATACTAATGAGGGAGTGTAGCTCAGTGGTAGGGTGCTTGCCTAGTGTGTTGAGGCACTGAGTTCAATTCCCAGAACCATATACACACAAAAGTTGTAATACTTCAGTAAAATATTTTTTAAAAATTAAAAAAAAAGATGTTGTTTCATTGTCTCATGGTTTGCATTTCTTCTGTTGAGAAATCTGTTGTCACTCTTTGTTCTGGTCATATAATGTCTTCCCCCCGCCCTTTATGACCTATTTTAAGAGTTTTCTTTATCTCATTGGTTTAATACTGTAGAAGAAAAAAATCAGCAAACTTGAAGATGTACCAGTAAAACCTGTATTTTAAAAGAAGTACAAAAAAGATAAAAAGACTAAAAAAAAAAGAACAGAGCTTAGTGAGCTGTGAGAAAATAAGCCCAGTTTTAAAGGTATTTTACATAAAAAGACTCTTTTGCTGATTTCTGGATTTACCTGGGGACGGCTTCCTCCCTTTTAAAAAACATTTCCCCATACAGAATCTAGCTGCCTATGTCATCAATTTCTCTTCTGTCTCCCGAATTCAGCAAGACCACAGAGCTCAATTTGACCTCCCCTCCCCACACTATACCATGGAAACTGTCTCTGGGCAGTAAGCAGGGACCACCATTGTGCGATACTTGCTTAGTTTCCTTATCTGGGTAACAGCAGTCCTGTGGTCTCTATTTTGTACAATGTCTTGTAAAAGTTATTGTTTGCATTTTGTTTGTTTTTCTAATGGTTTATGGTAAGAGGGAAATTTCTGTATCAGTTCAACCTTCATGGTCAGAAGCAGAAGTCCTCTAGGGGATAATCTTTTAAGGCCAAGATTCAGAAGTTGCTCACTAACACTGGGTTGTCAGAATTTAGTAATATAGCAATATCGGGTTATAAGGAGGAAACCTGAATAATGACATCTAGCTATGTGTCCGTGTGCCCAGATACGCTGCATTACTGGAGGAAGAGGGAAATATAGGTTGTGGGGTTTTTTTTCAATTATTTGCATCAATTTGGGGGTTGAGTTTCTGACCTTGGTACTCTAGAATCCTGGCTAATAGATTCTCTCAGTGGACAGAGGGAAGCATAAGTTCAACAACAAGGATACATTTAATTTTGTACTTAATCTCTTTGGAGCTTAGTTTTCCTATCTGCAAAATTAGAATATTCATATCTAGTTTGTTCTTAAGTTTAATGAGTTTATGAATGACAAAGTCTTTTTAAGCTGTACAATACTATACAACTACATATGACACTCATCAATCTTTTTCTAACGCCCAAGTTCAGGTTTTCACCCATTATATACTCTTAAAACACTTGGTAATTTTCCCCATAGTTTATCTCAATTGCAATAGTCAGAAGAAGCACAGGATGCTCAGAGAGTTGCTATTTCTCTGGTTCACAGCACACTGCACAGTGACTGGTGTTTATTGAGCTCCCAAGGAAGTATTGAAGTGAACCCATGGCAATATAAGATGCCATACCATGGTCTGACCTCTAGGGGGAACTCAAGCCTCCTCTACAGTTACTGCGCCTCATCCAAATAAATGCTGGAGAGAAGGTAGAGTTATCTGCTGGGACAGGTTGCTGGAGTGGCCAGGGCAGGGGCCAAATGGGCAGCTTTCCACAACAATGGATAAAGATTTAAAGTGGTGCATCTACATGGCACACTTTCTGGGGATGTGATGTCTCTTTGATGTTCCTTTGGGCAGGTGCACAGATTCAGCCCTGGAGCTGCCTCCTGCTTAAAAGGTGTGTCCATTCTGGGAACGACTCCTGGGCTCTATGTGCTGATCACACACAAGACTCTCGTTGTAGCCTTGTCCTTTCCATGGAACTTCAGACCCTTAGATCTGGTTGCTCATATTGTGTGTGTGTGTGTGTGTGTGTGTGTGTGTGTGTGTGTTGCTGGGGATTAAACCCAGACCCATGTGAGTACTTAGAGTGTGCTGTACCACTGAGCTACACCAATTGCTCACATATCCAAGTGGATGTCTAATGAAGGCATTTTGAACTACAAGTGACCCAGGTAAAACTTGTTTTGTCCCTCAAACCTCCCCTCTTCTCCATCTCAGCACAACGTCTCCTGCTTGTTCGTGTCCTGCATCTAGGTTTTAGTCTAACTCCTTTCTTCTGCTGGCCAAGACCAACAAATAAGTTCTCAGACCCCACTAGTCACATGTTTCTCTCCATCTGCACCATCTCCCCATGGTTCAAGCCTCTTTGGTTTCGTGCATTCATTAGCACCTCACAGTTGCACGTAACGGTGAGGTTCATTTTGACATAATCATACATGCACGGAATAGAATTGCCCCCATTTCAGTCTCCCGGGCTTCCTCTTTCCCTCCCCTCCTCCCTACCTCTGTTTCCCTTCTTCTATTATATTGTTTTCATTTATTTGTTTTAAATTGGTGCTTTATGGATATGCATAAAAAAGCAATTCATTGTGATCTATTCACCTATGTGCACAGCATAATTTCGTCAATTTCATTCTGTGGTTCCTGCCTTTTCCCATCCCTCCTCCTCCCGCCTCAGCCCCTTCTACTGATGTCTCCTCGGTCTTCACGATATCTGCCCCTTCCTTTGCTCTACTTTCCTCATTTGACAGAAAACATCTGACACTGGACTTTCGGAGTCTGGCGTATTTCACTTTGCATGATGTTCTTTACCAGCAAATTCCGTAATTTCATTCTTCTTTGTGGCTGAGTGAAACTCCATTGTGTCAATATACCACATTTTCTTTGTCTGTTCATCTGTTGTTGGCCGTCAGGGTTGGTTTCATAACCTGGCTATTGGGAATTGTAGTGCTGTAAACATTGATGTACCTGTATCACTATAGTATGCGATTTTAGTTCTTTTGGATAAATAGCTGGGTGATATACTGGTTCTATTCCCCGTCTTTTAAGGAATCTCAATACTGCTATCCAAAGTGGTTGTACTAACTTGCAGTCTACCAATAAGGAATGAGTGTGGCTCCCCACCCCCATTCTCACCAGCTGTCATTATTAATTGTATTCTTGACATTGTCATTCTAACTGGAGTGATAGGAAATCTCAATGTGGTTTTGATTTGAAGTTCCTTGATTGGTAGGGACATTGAACTTGAATTTCATTTATTTGTTGGCCACTTTCTTTTCTTATTTTGAGAAATGTCTGTTTAATTCTTTTCCTTGGATTATTTGGAGTTTTGTCCTAAGATTTTTTTGAGTTCTTTATATATTCTGGATGTTAATTTCCCTGTTGAAGGAATATTTGGTGAAGATTCTCTCCCACTCTATAGGTCTTCTTTTTATATTCTTAATCATTTTATTTGTTCTGCAAAAGTTTTTTTTTAATGCTATTCCAATTATTGATTATTGGTTTTATTTCTTGAGGTCTTGTTAGAGAGGTTGATGCCTGTACTAATATGTTGGAATGTTGACCCTATGTTTTCTTCTAGCAGTTGCAAAGTTTCTGGTCTAATTCCAGATATTTGATCTACTTTGATTTGATTTTTGTGCAGGGTGAGAGATAGGAATCTAATTTCATTCTTCTACATATGAATGTCCAGTTCTCCCAGCACTAAATGTTAAAAAGGCTGTCTTTTCTCTAGCATATTTTTTTGGCAACTTGGGTGAGTGTAAGTTGACTGTAAGTATGTGGATTTGTCTCTGGTGTCTTCTATTACATTCCATTGATCTTCACGTCTGTTTTGGTGCCAATACTCAGGTGTTTTTATTACTATAGACCTGTAGTATAATTTAAGATCAGGTATTGTTATGCCTCCAGTGTTGCTCGGGATTGCTTTGGCTATTCTGAGTTTTTTATTCTTCCAGATTTCTAGTTTTGTGAAGCATGTCATTTGTATTTTGATGGGGATTGCATTGAATCTGTATAATACTTTTGATAGTATGATCATTTTGACAATATTAATTCTGCCTATCCAAAAACATGAGAGGTCTTTCCATCTTCTAAGGTCTTCTTCAATTTCTTTCTTCCATGTTGAATAGTGTTCTTTGTAAAGATCTTTAACCTCCTTGGGTTATATTTATTCCCAAGTATTATATTATATTGTATTTGAGGTTTTCGTGAATGGAATAGTTTTCCTGATTTCTTTCTCAGCAGATTCATTATTGGAGTATAGGAAAGCTGTATTCCATGAATGTTGATCTTTTATTCTGCTACTTTGCTGAATTTGTTTCTCAGTTCTAGAAATCTTCTGATAGGTTTTTTTTCGGGGGGGGGGAGCCTTTTAGATATAGGATCATGTTAACAAACAGGGATCATCTGGCTTTTTCTTTTCCTATTTATATCCCTTTAATTTCCTGCTCTTGTCTGGTAGC